TTTGGCCACCTCATGCGAAGAGTTGACTCATTGGAAAAGACCCTGATGCTGGGAGGGATTGGGGGCAGGAGGAGAAGGGGACGACAGAGGATGAGATGGCTGGATGGCATCACTGACTCGATGGACATGAGTCTGAATAGACTCCGAGAGTTGGTGATGGACAAGGAGGCCTGGTGTGCTGCAATTCATGGGGTCGCAAAGAGTCGGACACGACTGAGTGACTGAACTGACTGACTGACTAAAGCTATCTTTTCAGCCTCCCTTCACCAGCCTCGCCCCCACCTCCCACCATCACTCTATCATCCTCTGCTACACCCTACATGGAGGTTTTCACCCCTCCAACTCCTCTGAGTCAGTCTGGGCTGGTGCTCCCAGGCTCAGCTGCTGGTCCTCACCACCTGCAATGGCTTTTCTGCAGGGACCTCCCTGGGTTCTGGCACAAGAGGCCTCTCCCTCCCACATTCTGACAGCTCCCTGAGGAACCATGTCTCGGCCATCTCCATGCCCCTGGCTGCCTAGTAGAGCTCCTGGAGATGAGAGCACTCAAGAGATGCCTGGAGAATGAGCTGACATTTCCAAGTACACCCCGTATCAGAGTTAACCACACAAATGCTTTAGTCTCTGCGGAGGGAAAGAGCTCCTTGAAGCCACGTCCTGTTCCTCAGTCATGTGTATTCTCAGTACACATGTGTATTCCTGACACACAGTGCTCAGGAAATGTGGAGGTAGAAGGTAACAGCACATATATGTGAGTGTGTATATACACATGTGTACACACACACACTTTTGCTATAACAATAAATGATTTTAAATTTTTTAGAGCTGTAGCTTTCAGAGAAAAAGAATCCAGGTATCCTTGTCAGGCCCCTTCCTTATTTCACAGCCATGGAGAGGGAGGCTGTAGGAAGTTCCTAGGGGCCCTTTGCCAGTCAGGCCAGGATGGACTGAACATGAAGCAGGCCCCCCTCAGGAGGCTCGAACATGTGGCTGACAACCTGCCCCTGTACACAGGACTAGTCACAGCAGTCCAGACAACCCAGTCAGGGCCACTCCTAAACTCATTCAAACTGCCCTTTAAACTTTTGAAAGAAAAAAAAAGTGTGTTTAAGTAACTACCCTTCCTCAAACTCCCTCCATTGTATTGCCTATTCTGACAATAATGTGAACTATCACAATATACAATTTCACTATGGTTACCTTTCTTCACCAAAAAATAATTGCTGATGACTTCCCTGGTGGTCCAGTGACTAAGGCTCTGTATTCCCAAGGCAGGGAGTCTGGGTTTGATCGTTGGTCGGGGATCTAGATCCTAAAAGCCACAGCTAAGACCCGGTGCAGCCAAATAAGTAAATATTTATAAAAACCCAAACCTTGCTGAATACCTATCAATGTTCCAGGCCTAGCAGGGTGTCAGGGAGACAGTGGTGAACTGCATACTCCATTGGTCCCAAGAGTTAAGGCACCTTCACTCAACTCTCTGAAGGTTTCTGACCTTTACTTCCTCCAGAAGTCCTGTGAACAGTTTCACTTTTGTGATGGAAATGTTACGGCCTCAGGCTAGAAACAGGTGTTCTCAAAGCTCAGGGAGCCCTCAGGCACCTCCTGGTTCTATCTTTTAACTCACAAATGAGGAAAGTGAGGCTTAGGGCTTTCCTTTGGAAGTATAATGAAGAAAAGTAAAGAATGTGGACAAAGAAAAACAAGACAGTAACAGTGATGTTTATACTAGAATGCTAGAGTTTTAGGAAACGTCTTCCTATTTTCCAAAATTCTTGTAATGGGATTATATTATTTTTATAACTAAAAGATAGTTTTTGAAGACATTTAAAAACATGTTCAGTAATAGATATATAAATGCACAGACACATGAAATTTATAGAGAAACTACTACCTTCAGTAGCTTATAGCTGCCTCCAATCTCATTCTTTGAAATAAAGCTGGGTATAAATATATATATATATATATATATATAAGATGTACTTTCAGCTCCTGGCTTGTCCTCTGCATTAGAGCTCTGTCACTGTTAAACTGGGAAGTTCTGAGAAGTTGGAAGGTTGACCAAACTACCCCACTGGTGAATCTTACTGTTAAAGAAAATATATTTGATTTAACCCCAAATATTATCATGGAAACATGAAAAGAAATACTAGAAGCACTTCATGTTATTTTTTAATACTAGTTCTTTGAAATCCAATATGTATTGAGTGCACTTAGAGCTCATCTCAATTCCAAATGAGAAAAACTGGGTTCTTAAAAAGGTCAGAGGGGCTTTCCTGGTGGCTCAGTGGTAAAGAATCTCTCTGCCAATGCGAGAGACATGGGTTCGATCCCTGATCTGGGAAGATCCCACATGCCGTGGGGCAACTAAGTCCGTGTGCCAGAACTACCGAGCCTGTGCTCCACAACAAGAGAAGCCACCACAAGGAGAAGTCCATGCACTGCTACTAGAGAAAAGTCTGAGCAGCAGCGAAGACCCAGCATGGCCAAAAGTAAATAAATTTTAAAAGCTATTTTTTTTAAAAAGCTCAGAGAAAGTGCATAAAATGTTTGGAAAATAAGATTATAGATAGAAGTGAAGTCGCTCAGCCATGTCTGACTATTTGGGACCCCATGAACTGTAGCCCACCAGGCTCCTCCATCCATGGAATTTTCTAGGCAAGAGAGATTATAGATAGCTTTCTGTATTTTCTAAACTTTCTGTAATTGATAGAATATTTCTATAATACATTTATCATTACATATATTATATGTATTATATATATTAAATACATTATATGTAATAATAAATGTATTATAGAAATATAATAATATCACCATGGAATATTACTCAGCTGTTAAAAAGAATTCATTTGAATCAGTTCTAATGAGATGGATGAAACTGGAGCCCACTATACAGAGTGAAGTAAGCCAGAAAGATAGAGAACATTACAGCATACTAACACATATATACAGAATTTAAAAAGATGGTAATGATAACCCTATATGCAAAACAGAAAAAGAGACACAGATGTACAGAACAGACTCTGTGGGAGAAGGCGAGGGTGGGATGTTTCGAGAGAGAACAGCATGTATATTATCTATAGTGAAACAGATCACCAGCCCAGGTGGGATGCATGAGACAAGTACTCAAGCCTGGTACACTGGGAAGACCCAGAGGAATCAGGTGGAGAGGGAGGTGGGAGGGGGGATCAGGATGGGGAATACATGTAACTCCATGGCTGATTCATGTCAATGTATGACAAAACCCACTGCAATGTTGTGAAGTAATTAGCCTCCAACTAATAAAAATAAATGAAAAAAAAAGAAATATAATATGTAATATATTAATAATAATATATATTATATATATGTAATATATAATAATATATGTAATAATATTACATTATTATTAAGTGGGATTCAGGAATGAGACTCAGATTCAAAGTAAGCTGCTCCTAATTCTTGTAGGACCCTGCAGAAGTAATGTAA